GAGGCGCTCTTGGGCCGTGTTGGGGCCCACTTGGGAGCCTCTCGGTTCGTCTTGATGCCGTCTTGGGGGCTTCTTTCGCCGTCTTGGAGCGTCGGAAGCCCGAAAAAACGCGAAGGCCAAAAACGTTGAAAAAACCAATGGAAATCGCCGATTTTGGCCTCTTGGGGCCATCTTGGGAGGCGTCTTGGAAGCTTCTTGGGGCGTCTTGGAGGCATCTGGGGCCATCTGGAGGCCATCTTGACCGTCTTCGAGTGTTTTTTCGGCGACTCGGGGCCCTCTTGGACCGTCTGCAGAGCTTCTTGGGAGCCTCTTCGCTCGTTTGCGGCCCCCCCAGCAGACTCTCTGGAGCGGATGACCCCCCCCGGACCGCGCCGGCGGTTCCCGGGGAATCCGGCCGGACCCCCCCCCCCCCCCCTCCAAAACGACCGGACCAGGCTCCGGGGGGAGGGGTTTGGGGAGGGGGGAAGCATCTCACACGCCGATGACCCCAAGGGGTCGGCGGATTATCTCCGGGCATTATTATTGTAGTGGCCTCTGGCTAGTGCCGCCGATTCAGGTGCGCTCCCGATGCGATTTGGTTGGTGGAAGGGGAGGTGGAGGAGTAGGTGGAGGATGAGGCGGAGGGAGGTGGAGGGAGGGATTGCCTCACGATGGCCCAAGACGGCCTGAGCAGCCCCCAAGAGGCTTCCAAGACAGCCAAGAAGGAAGAGGAGGAGGAGGAGGAAGAAAAGGAGGAGGTGGAGGAGGGGGAAGAGGAGGAGGAGGAGGAGGAGGAGGAGGAGGGAGGAGGAGGCAGCGGGAGGAGGAGAGAGGAGGTGGGAGGAGGAGGAGTGGGGCCTATTGGGGTCCGCCTGAGGCCTCCTGGGGGGCCTCTGAGAGGCCTCGTGGGCTTTCTTGGGAGCCTCTTGCGCCAGAAGACTCGAAGTGTTGGGTCGGGCTCCCTCTCTGGGGCTTCTGTTGGGGCCGTCTTGGGGCCCTCTCGGAGCGCCTTGGGTGCCTCCGAGGTAGTCCTGGAGCCCTCTTGGGCCGTCTTGGGGCCCTCTTGAGTAGCCTTGGGGCTCCTTGTGCAGTTTTGGGGCGCTCTTGGGAGCCTCTTTGGCAGTCTTGGTCCACGATCTTGGGGGCCTCTTGGGCCGTCTTGGAGCGTCGGAAACCCGAAATGGCGAGCATGTCAAAATCTGTCAAAAAGAAACTATCGGAAAACATTAGCCTCATGAGCGCATCTTGGGGTTGCTGTTGGAGTGCTCTTGGGGCCTCTTAGGGGGCCTTTTGGGCGTTCTTCGGGCCTCTTGGGAACTCCTGGAGACGTTTTGGGCCGTCTTAGAGGCCTCTTGAAGGCCTCTTGGGCCGTCATGACGCCATCTTGGGCCGTCTTGGGTACATCTTAGGCCGTCTTCGAAATATCTTTTTTTTTTTTTTTTTTTGTTTTTTTTTTTTTGGATTAAAAGTTTGTGTGTGTGTTTTTTTTTTTTTTTTTTTTTTTTTTTTTTTTTTTTTTTTTTTTTTGTTTTTTTTTTTTTTTTTTTTTTTTTTTTTTTTTTTTTTTTTTTTTTTGCAGCAATCCTTGGGGTTTCTCTTTGGCATCCCGGGTGTCACTCTGCGGTGTTTCCACACGACCACCCCCCGAACCCGCCACCGCCGCCCCCCCCCCGGAAGACGGAACACCGCGGCGTTCCTCCCCCCCCTCCCCCCTCCCCCCCCCCTCCCCCACCCCCCTACCCCGGCAGAGCCACCCCGGCACCAACCAATTTGATTATCTCCGGGCATTATTATTTTGGGTATTTGGTTCAGTTGTTGGGACGAATGCGCACGGTGCTAATGTGAGGGCCTCATATGCCGTGCGTTATTGGGGATTTCAGCTCTCCAGCGAAACGCCCAAACCGACCTGCTGACCCGTGTGGCGATGCGACCCTGGGCAAGTCATGAGGAAGAAGGGTGGAGAAGGAAGAGAGGTGAGGGGCAGGCGAGCGGGGAGACGCGCGGCGCTGCGGACCCAATGGAGGACGCATTTCCACAGAAGCGTCGGGAAAGCCATCGGGGGACGTTCGCTGCATGTGGCTCACTTGGGTTCTTCTAGAGAGCGTGGCAGTGGCCTGCAGGCCGATTTAGTTGCGTAAGCTTGCTTCAGGCCAAGAGTTTATTACCCTTAGCAGATAGATAAAATTGTGGCAAGTCGAATGCATCCCAAATGCACTCTGACCTGGCAGGAGCAGCAGATGTGGAGCCTCGATCCCGTCTTCAGTGCGAGCGACCCCTGGGCACAGCGCTCCATAGCTAAGATGATCGAGGACCTTCCGCCGCAGCTCGAGGTATCAGAGGACTCTGCGTGTTGGATCAGCGACTACGAGGCCTGGCTGGCTAGAGGAGAGGGCGAGTTCTCTTTTCCTTCTCGTCAGTTCGACACGACTGTTGCGACGTTCGTCAACCAATACAGTGAGTATTTCGACCAGGTCTTGACCGAAGACGGCAAAGTCAAGGCCATCAGGCTCGATCTCTCGCTCAAGCTCGACGAGTACGCTTCGGTCTCTGACGCCATAGCTGCTTTGGAGGCCTGGGACGACCACGTCCGTGCACGCAATGCAGCGGCAAGCGTGCGTGCCAACAGCGCTTGGCACACGAGTCCACTCTGGGTGCGTGCTCGGGCGCAGGCGGGGCTCATCTCCAGCACTGCGGTCACTGTGTCAATCTCGGTGTTGGTAGGCTTCTTGGCAATGCTTTTCTTCACATGCGACTGTAGGCTGGCGTGTTTGTCGATGATCAGTAGTGTACTGACCATCCTCTCGCTTCTCTTCTTCATGGTCGTGTGCCTGCAGTGGATGATCGGGGCGATCGAGGTGGTCGCGCTCATCGTATTCCTCGGCTACCTTTTCAGCTTCAACCTCCATGTGTCGCACGCTTACAAGCGCGCGGAGATCCTGCATATTGGCCCAGAAGGTGAGCGCTTCCAGAGAGTGCGCGAAACACTGAAGATACGTTTGCCTTCTGGCCTTTGCCGCCGGCGTTTTGCAGTCCCCAACTATATAACCTACACTTGTCCTGGCCAGGGCCTTCTTGGGCCAAGGGTTGGGCTAATGAGGATCGCTGTAGGTATGTCGTTGGCGTCCTCCCACGAACTCCAGGCAGTTTTCTCTACTTCCGACCAGCAGGACTCAGCTTGCGGAGTCCGAAGAAGGGTGCAATCGCAAGCAGAGGTGAAATGCCAGTGGGTGGTGCAACCCGTGTGTCCCAGGGCAATCGTGGAGGTTTCTTTTACACCTCTTATACAATTCCGAGAAGCCTCTCGCTGACTACTTTCCAAATTACCAAGATACGCCTGATGAGTCCAGGCTATTTCTGTGCAAGAGTGCCTCTGGCGATTCTAATCCGAGGCCAGGTTTCTTGAGGGCCCCCCCGCCGCTAATCATCCCCCTTTTTCTCGAGGCCCCCGCTAAATGAAGCAGCGAGTTGACATGCACATGCAATTGCAAAACAACCTGCAACGCAACGCGATGCACCGCATTGTTATGTATGTTCACCAAGGCACCACACTGCAACGCAGTGCGCTAC